TATGAACTTTAGTAGGTAAATGTACATTTATAGGTGTGAGATAAAACTTAAATGTATAGTGAAGTGTAAAAATACTTCTAGTTGGATATCAAGAATGATTTCCACCATGAGGATCTATACAAGGAAGTTTACATGGAGTGACCAAGCTATGTAGCTCGGGAGGGGAAGGAGGGGGGGGGGGGGGGGTTCTATAGTCTAGTGTGCATATTACCTTTCTCTTCATATGGTCTCAAACCATCTCTGCACTCTGCAGGCATGGTTAGGACAGTTTAGTACAATCATACGTGAAATTGACATGACTAGGTGTAATGGTGACCATCTTATATTTTTATCAACATTTTGCAAGTAACAAGTGCATAAGTAGTGTATGTTGAATTCATTGTCATTACAAGTAGTAATCTAGAAGGCATTACTCAACCCAATGAATATTTATTTAGGCAAATTTGGAACTAATGGCTTGGGAAAGCTTATGATACTTTGACAATGAAATTGCTCAATCTTATGATAACATTGGTCTCTCCGAGCCGAAATATGCTTTGTAGTATAGAAACATGACAACTTAGAAGAACACTAAGATTTAAAAGATATATGATGTTCCATAAATAACTTGTAGTCATGCAGTGCTCATTGGTTTGTATAAGAAAGACGGAGTATTTATTATTTCTCATATTATTTCAGTCTCATTTATCGTCCCTTTATTACTTCTGGTTTCATATTAACTATTTTGACGAATGTGTTCATCCACTATTTTTTAAAACTTTATTATTTGGGCATGGAAGGCATATAAAGCTGTTCGAACCATTTAAGGATGGAAAATTACCATCAGTTGGTTTCTTTACAAATTCCACACCCAGTTTCTCAAATCTCTCGCAAGCCTTGTATGCGTCATCAACAGTGATTCCTATGTGTCCTGGACACAGGATAGAAAAAATCAAAATGCATGTGTGACAAATTAACTGGCAGGCTGTAGGCCATATGAAAGATTCAAGTTTAGAGAGATTTGGTGACAAATTGATGAGTAGTTTACATGCAAGATTCATAAGATACAATTAAGTTCTGCTTGTGAGGCAATAAATAAAATAAAAATAGAAAAAAAACAGGCACTCGTATATGAAGTGACAATGCAGTATATGGGTACTTAAGATAAACGAAATTAGCTTTAAAAATAAGCCCAATTAGCTTACCAAATCCACGAGGCTCTGAATTTCCATTATGGTAACCCTTGAAATTTGGATCACTCTCAGTACCCCAATTACTACAAAAATAATTTGACTGTTGGTGAAAATAAAGTTCTGCTACAATGTTGGGTGATTCAAAGAAGTCTGGTGCTTACTGTGTAAGCTCTAGAGTAGCTTTCTGACCAAACGTCCAAGAAACACGATCAGCTGGATCACTGGGCGCTGATGATGTGTCCTAATTTATTGGTTGCAGAAAATAACGTTAACCTTGTAGGTTAAAGTCATGAAATTGATTACCCATAATTAGTTCAGTTCCTTACCTCATATCCCATGAAATACAAGCTAAATTTCATGTCTGGAAAATCCAATCTCTTCAACAATCTACATCAAAATAAAACAGAACAGTGTGAGCACAGGAAATTCCCCATTAGTTGTTTATTCCATGTTATCTATATGTGGATGAGGCTTTAAAAATCACAGCCAAAAACACAGAGAGACGATTTTTGCATGATCATTCATGAACACGGATGTGATCACTAATTCTTATTGGGACTTTAACTCTTACCTCAAAAAATATTATTGTAAACAAATTATATTTATGTACCCGGTTTTAGTAGCACTCCACACGTTTACACTTCCCAGAAATGCAACATGAACAAGATGACTTATGTAGAACCCTCCTATTCATAGACATCAGCCCAACCCCCATAGCCATAATTCTCAACTGATAAAGGGGAGTGTGGTGATAGACTTAGCATTTGGCATAGTGAAACGTTGGGCTTCAATTCAAAAACACTCACCATTTTGCCACAAAATAAAATCGATATGAGCACTATCAAGCATGCACATAGTAACCAAACAGAAAAGTAGAATCATTGGAAAAAGACAGGATGACTTACGACATGCCCAACACTTTGGAGTAGAACTCAAGGCTGACTTTTGGGTCCTTAATCCTGAACATCTAAGGCTCACACAAATCAAAGATAAGTGTTAGGCACTATGTGGTGGTATATATATTAGTCTAGAAGGTGACGAAGGATCCCCACAAACAAGCGAGATTGGAGCAGAAGTGCAAAAATGAGAATAAACCAGTGATATGAGTATATGACAAGCCAATATATTCATTCATATAGAACTTATAAATTGCATATTGATATTTTAGTGAATTGTCTGTTGATTTGTATGAAGATTACAATATTGATACCTCATCTTCAGGAATTTAGAGGAAAAGTGAAAACTTAGACCTTCTAACATTTATATCTCCGATTTAGGGGACAGTAACTATTTTGTTCTAGCAGCACAAATAAATCAACACAAAAAGTTAATCACATAATGAGTTTGTTTTGTGAGAAAAAACTCATTTGTAACATCTGGATTTGCATATAGTGTAGACAAAATTGCTTAATGAGCTGAATTATATTGAAAATAATGTAGAACATATGGCAATGGAAAATATCTCCGCTCATTGCAAATTGGCAACTTCATTTTATTTTCCATGCACGTGGAAATAACCTATGAATCCTATGATGATGACTGTTATAGTATTTTTCATCCCACAATTCCTTGTTGTGACTTGTGAAGGTAGCAACATGAATGCCATACACCCTAAAACAGTGCCTCTGTTTTCTGCATGAGTTTATACTGTTAATTTTTATACTATTGATTGGCATTATGAATTCCATAGAGCAATCTACCATAAGTAGTTGGGATTAAAGTGTTACTAAAGGGTGATGATGATGATGATGGGTAATCGTAAAATTTCAAGTTGAATGGAGTATCTAAAAAATTTTAATAGTCTTATTTCCATTTATTTCATTCAGTTTAGCCCAAAAAAATATATAAAATTGTAATTCAGGTCATGCAATCAGCTAGTATTTTTTTAGTGTAGTAATAAACTAATAGGATAAGGCTTTGTTGTTGTTGTTGTAGTAATAAACTAATAATAGTAATACTCCCTCCAACCCACTATTTTTGGGACATGGTGGAATGGCACGGAAATTAAGAAAAATAAGGTTGTATGGTTGATAGTAAATAGTAAAGAATGAATGTGAACCACAAAAATATGACCAAGTTATTTATGGGTCAAAAAAAGGATGGAAAAAAGACAAATAGTGGGACGAATGGAGTAATAATAGTATGGAGTAATACACTTTTTATGACATCGACAGCCATTGTGGCCTTTTCCGGCCAGTCCGTTGCATCAATGATCCCAAAACTCCCTCCCTGTACCTCTGATGTCCACCTCCTCCCCCCCCTCCCATCCTGTTCCCACCTCACCCCAGCCTTGTCTGAGAATCACAATGGCAGGAAAACCCCGGTGTCATGATATGACAACATACCATTGCATCACAAGAACCAACCCATAATTCTAAATATAATAAATATAACTCCGTACGACTCAAAATTAACGGCGGGCTAACAATGCACATAATAAGCTAAACAATTGAAAGAGGGAGGCTTACAGTTTGCTGCAAGAAGTAACCTTTGGTGGCATCTTCAGGGGTAGCCTGAAGGCCCGGGTTGTTGGAAGGCAATTCTTTCGCCCCTGAAGACATCAATGGCTATACACAGCTACTCTGAACCTGCAAATTTTAACATGGGGATGGTAACTTGTTATAATAAATTAGTGGAAACTGGAGAAACAAATTTGTTACCTCATTTCTAAAATCTAAATAAACCATGCAGTTTCATTTCCTTAATAACCGTGACAAGTCAACATGGAAAGTAAATGCACTCAAAAAAAACATGGAAAGTAAATTTTAGGACATAGGGAGTATAAACTTTTGTTAAGAATTCTAAAACTTAATCGCGATTTCAGTACTCTTTTGTTAATTAAACCGAACTAGTGTTTAATTACTTCTGGTTCTCCCATGAATACCATACCCTGATTACAGCCTGTGTGACTAGCAGTTAACACAACAAAATTTCAAAGCACATTGCCTCATTGGGCACTGCTATTACTGTGATCCAAAAAAAATTAGAAGAAAACACATCATTTTAAATTTTCACATCGTTTACTCCCTCGCGTTGCTGTTAATCTGTTATATACTCGTGAATTATTTAAACTTTTGAGAGTTGACAATCGATACTGGAGATTCCTTCACGAAGAGATACCTTAGGTGTTAGGACTACGACAGTGTTTTAGGACTTTTGGCGCACAGAAAGGAAGAGTAAAGAGGAGTGCGAATGAAAATTATAGTCCATACCCCTAACTTCTTGGTAACTCTCTCTCTCTCACCTGACCCGACCTGAACCAACCCCCTCCCCTTCTTCAATTGCACCTCCCAAACTTAGTTGACTTTGGGGTCAAAATTTGATTCTAACGTCAACAAAATTTAGAGAGTGAAATTGAAGATGGTGGAAAAGTGGGCTCGGGTCGGGTTGGAAGAATTAGGAGGGTAGAACTATCAATTTTTTAACGGAACACCGTACGGCCCCCAGATCATCCCATGGGAATGTTTGGCAATGTCATGGGAATCGCCCCATTATGTAGTAGAGGAACTCATGTGTACACTTAGAATACATCTTTTGATGTATCCCTAACAGTTTTTCATTGGGCGATTACTCTTGGAGGTAGGCACGGGTCGAAACAAGGCATTGAAAATTTAAAATTGGAACCGACCCTAACCCAGTTTGTTTGAAACGGGCCAATTCTACAGCCCTACGGATCCAAATATTACATTACTACATACGGATTACCTTACAATCCTTGTATACAAGGAGTCATGTTTATAATCACATTTCCAATTGAAACAAGTATAGTAAACCAGCAGGTCTATTAGTTTATATGGCATATCATATGAGATCACCCACGTCCACGATTTACACAAATACACATTTTGGTTTTTATTAAACTGAATCTCAAAGTCCATCCAATTTGACTTGAAAAAATCAAACTTTTACAATAAAATTGAGACGGAGGGAGTATTTTTATTATGGACCGGTCCGGGTCCTATAAATATAAAAATTGAGAAGCAGCCCGCCTCATTAAAGCAATGAAACCGGCTTGGACAGCCCTATTTTGAAAATTTGCATATTGGACCCGACCATAACCCGTCCGAAACCATATAGTTCGATTTCAAACTGTAGTTCCAGGACCCGTTTGTCCACCTATAATTACTCAGATTAGTAAGGTAGTGTACACCTTATATCACACATTTATCAAAATACTTAATACTCTGTATAGAAAAAAATTTAGTGCTATTAATTTTATGTCACACACTTACCAAATACGCCATGAAATCAATGACACAAAAAATTATTGTTAGAAAGGATCAAGGTTGAACCGGAGTGTGAGGGTGAGGCCTTCGGTAGCATAAAAATAGATAGCAAAATTTCAAAGCACATTGCCTCATTGGGCACTGCCATTCCTGTGATCCAAAAGAATTAGAAGAAAACACATCATTTTAAATTTTCACATGGTTTACTCCCTCGTGTTGCTGTTAATCTGTCATATACTCGTGAATTATTTAAACTTCTGAAAGTTGAAAATTGATGCTGGAGATTCTTTCACGAAGACACATGCAACATAAATCATCATGACAATAAATCAATAATAATAATAATAATAATCCGTAATAATAAGGTTCGGGCCACCCTCCTATTTTCGCAAAAACAAAACCTAATTCCAACCCTACAATTCCTGCAGGAAACGAAGTAAAGCTTACAAGATAAAAATCCCAAGCAATAGCACAGAGATAGGGTTTGGAAAGGAAGGAGGAAGAAAAGAAGAAGAGATACCTTAGGTCTTAGGACTACGACAGTGTTTTAGGACTTTTGGCGCAGAGAGGAAGGAAGACTAAAGAGGAGAGTGCAAATCAAAATTGAAATGGGAATTGGGCGATGATTCCAAATCTCCAATTAGTAATGAAAAGTAAACCTTATCAAATTTATCAAGGATAATCCTAGGATAATACAAATGTCTCTATCGATAATACAAATAATTTTATATTTATACAAATCATAATTATTTATATTGTATTATTTGTATGGGTGAGGTTCCAGTGCCACTGGAATCCGGTGCCACTAGCGGTGCCACCGGCATTTTGGGGCACCTCCGGTGCTCCGTTCGCAAAATTAACGATTCCTA